TACCTACCAACATATCTATCCATCTACCTAAATATATACCATAATCTATTGACCTACCTACGAGTCATCATATCTATCCATCTCCCTAAATATATACCATAATCTATTGACCTATCTACCAGCAAGCATATCTATCCATCTACCTAAATATATACCATAATCTCTTGACCTACCTACCAGCAAACATACCTATCCATCTACCTAAATATATACCATAATATTTTAACCCATCTACCTACCGATCAACATATTTATCCATCTACCTAAATATATACCATAATCTATTGACCTATTTACCTACCAGCATATCTATCCATCTACCTAAATGTATACCATAATATTTTAACCCATCTACCTACCTATCAACATATTTATCCATCTACCTAAATATATACCATAATCTATTGACCTATTTACCTACCAGCATATCTATCCATCTACCTAAATGTATACCATAATATTTTAACCCATCTACCTACCTATCAACATATTTATCCATCTACCTAAATATATACCATAATCTATTGACCTATTTACCTACCAGCATATCTATCCATCTACCTAAATGTATACCATAATATTTTAACCCATCTACCTACCTATCAACATATTTATCCATCTACCTAAATATATACCATAATCTATTGACCTATTTACCTACCAGCATATCTATCCATCTACCTAAATGTATACCATAATATTTTAACCCATCTACCTACCTATCAACATATTTATCCATCTACCTAAATATATACCATAATCTATTGACCTATTTACCTACCAGCATATCTATCCATCTACCTAAATGTATACCATAATATTTTAACCCATCTACCTACCTATCAACATATTTATCCATCTACCTAAATATATACCATAATCTATTGACCTATTTACCTACCAGCATATCTATCCATCTACCTAAATGTATACCATAATATTTTAACCCATCTACCTACCTATCAACATATTTATCCATCTACCTAAATATATACCATAATCTATTGACCTATTTACCTACCAGCATATCTATCCATCTACCTAAATGTATACCATAATATTTTAACCCATCTACCTACCTATCAACATATTTATCCATCTACCTAAATATATACCATAATCTATTGACCTATTTACCTACCAGCATATCTATCCATCTACCTAAATGTATACCATAATATTTTAACCCATCTACCTACCTATCAACATATTTATCCATCTACCTAAATATATACCATAATCTATTGACCTATTTACCTACCAGCATATCTATCCATCTACCTAAATGTATACCATAATATTTTAACCCATCTACCTACCTATCAACATATTTATCCATCTACCTAAATATATACCATAATCTATTGACCTATTTACCTACCAGCATATCTATCCATCTACCTAAATGTATACCATAATATTTTAACCCATCTACCTACCTATCAACATATTTATCCATCTACCTAAATATATACCATAATCTATTGACCTATTTACCTACCAGCATATCTATCCATCTACCTAAATGTATACCATAATATTTTAACCCATCTACCTACCTATCAACATATTTATCCATCTACCTAAATATATACCATAATCTATTGACCTATTTACCTACCAGCATATCTATCCATCTACCTAAATGTATACCATAATATTTTAACCCATCTACCTACCTATCAACATATTTATCCATCTACCTAAATATATACCATAATCTATTGACCTATTTACCTACCAGCATATCTATCCATCTACCTAAATGTATACCATAATATTTTAACCCATCTACCTACCTATCAACATATTTATCCATCTACCTAAATATATACCATAATCTATTGACCTATTTACCTACCAGCATATCTATCCATCTACCTAAATGTATACCATAATATTTTAACCCATCTACCTACCTATCAACATATTTATCCATCTACCTAAATATATACCATAATCTATTGACCTATTTACCTACCAGCATATCTATCCATCTACCTAAATGTATACCATAATATTTTAACCCATCTACCTACCTATCAACATATTTATCCATCTACCTAAATATATACCATAATCTATTGACCTATTTACCTACCAGCATATCTATCCATCTACCTAAATGTATACCATAATATTTTAACCCATCTACCTACCTATCAACATATTTATCCATCTACCTAAATATATACCATAATCTATTGACCTATTTACCTACCAGCATATCTATCCATCTACCTAAATGTATACCATAATATTTTAACCCATATACCTACCTATCAACTTATCTATCCATCTACCTAAATATATACCATAATCTATTGACCTATTTACCTACCAGCATATCTATCCATCTACCTAAATGTATACCATAATATTTTAACCCATCTATGTACCTATCAACATATCTATCCATCTACCTAAATATATACCATAATCTATTGATCTGCCTACCTGTCAACATTTCTATACATCTACCTAAATATATACCATAATATTTTAACCCATCTACCTACTGATCAACATGTTTATCCATCTACATCTATTGACCTATCTACCTGTCAACATATCTATCCATCTACCTAAATATATACCATAATCTATTGACCTATCTACCTGTCAACATATCTATCCATCTACCTAAATATATACCATAATCTATTGACCTATCTACCTGTCAACATATCTATCCATCTACCTAAATATATACCATAATCTATTGACCTATTTACCTACCAGCATATCTATCCATCTACCTAAATGTATACCATAATATTTTAACCCATATACCTACCTATCAACTTATCTATCCATCTACCTAAATATATACCATAATCTATTGACCTACCTACGAGTCATCATATCTATCCATCTCCCTAAATATATACCATAATCTATTGACCTATCTACCTACCAGCAAACATATCTATCCATCTCCCTAAATATACACCATAATCTATTGACCTACCTACCAGAAAACATATCTATCCGTCTACCTAAATATATACCATAATATTTTAACCCATCTACCTACCTATCAACATATCTATCCATCTACCTAAATATATACCATAATCTATTGACCTACCTACGAGTCATCATATCTATCCATCTCCCTAAATATATACCATAATCTATTGACCTATCTACCAGCAAACATATCTATCCATCTACCTAAATATATACCATAATATTTTAACCCATCTACCTATCAACATATCTATCCATCTACCTAAATATATACCATAATCTATTGATCTACCTACCTCTCAACATATCTATCCATCTACCTAAATATATACCATAATCTATTGATCTACCTACCTCTCAACATATCTATCCATCTACCTAAATATATACCATAATCTATTGATCTACCTACCTCTCAACATATCTATCCATCTACCTAAATATATACCATAATCTATTGACCTACCTACGAGTCATCATATCTATCCATCTCCCTAAATATATACCATAATCTATTGACCTATCTATCTACCTAAATTTATACCATAATCTAATGACCTATCTACCTACCTTTCAACATATCTATCCATCTACCTAGCTAAAGACATATATTGACTTATAATACCCATTTTATCTATCTGAAATCTAGCTACCTACTAAAAATGTCTACCTTTTGACACATCATAAGCATTTACCAACCTACCTACCTATGTATCAACATCTACATAAATATCTACTTACCTACAAAATTTTCATAAGAAATAAATAGATTTATTATTCATAACAATAAAGATAATAAAATACTCAGACACACTATGGTTGTCAAATTTAGTGGAACAGGTCCATAGTTCACTTGTATGAAACATCTACCGTATTTTATTTCACCTATCTATCCATCTACGTGATCTACAGTGAAGTTCAGTAGGTAATGGCCACAAGAATGCAAGAATGCTAAAATACTATGAATATATTTCTTATTAATAGATTTTTTCAATTTTTTGCCTTTCTGGAGTGATTTTCAAAAGGTAAAGTGTCCTATGAAAGTTATAACTAAGAGGATATAGGACGTTGCTGAGCAGGTACTTCCTGGACTTCTCATGCCGGAGTATCGCTGTGGTCAGACGAAGGTAATGAATCTGGAGGACAGAGAAAGAAAACAGGTTTCAATAAAGCTTCCATCTGTTAAGCACTGGCTGCCACAGTAATAATTTGGATCAACATGTTGCCAGTTCCCTCTCACAACCGTGGACATCAAACACATTACAGCAAGCTCAACACAAAGTGCCTCAGTCATTTTCATTTTAACAAGACATGTATTTCAAGTAGGATGGGCACACAGCCCATGTCCCTGCTGATAATTGCCCTGAACATCAATGGGCCAGGAGGACGTCAACACCTCTCTGCCTCTGATTAGACACAAATGCAGACGCTAAGCGTGAACATGCTTTGAAGTACAAGTTCCCAGCATGCAAGAATGTTTTTCTTTTTCCTTCCTGTCAGCGGTTATATCGTTCTCAGCACCAATAAACTTCAATATAACATTACAACAGCTTGGAAAATGGATTTGCATGAGAGAGCAATCATTGGGTTTCTCACCTGAAAGCCCAGATCAGGGATGATGGGAGAGAAACGATACGCTCTCAGCAGAGACATCATCAGCTGCTTCAGACACTCGCTCACCTCGTGGTCCTTCAGGAGGAGAAGAAAAAATTACAGTCTCAGAAGAATAAAACACATTATATCCAATCTCATTCCAGACGTTCTGAGTCTGTACCTCCATGAGAAGCCAGAAAAGGTCCAGCAGCTGTTGTATAAGAGGATGCTCTTCGACAGATCCTCCACCCTCCAAAATACTCAACAGGAAGTTCATCAGCACATCCTCCACTAAGTACACTTTGCACTAGCAGACACACACATTAGCATTAAATAAAGTGGTTTATGGAACAACGACAATGGTTTTACAGAAACTCTGAGTGATTTACCATGAGAGGTGCGAAGTGGTTGAATATATGTGCAAGGGTGACCAGGATGGTGGGATCTCCTTGAATCTGCCAGGCTCCGCTGTCTCTCTCCACAAGCTTTTCCTCCTGACGAAAAACAAAATCAAATGTCTTCTCATTCAGTTTTGTTTTAAAGATTGATACATCACACTGCATTGTCTTCTATTCTGAAGCAACACACTGTACAGTAGGCACCTGTGTGTCGATGGAGGTGGACAGGACTGTCTTGAGGTATCCCAG